TATATATAGTTATTATTATATTTTAGTGTAGTATATATATATATATATATATGTATATTTATATATATATACGTGTGTGTGTATGTATGTGTAGGTGTGGGTTTGTATGTATTTTCAAAAATATGTACATCTGCTTTCGTCAGTCTGCTTGTGTGTATATTTTATCTATATTATATGCATATGTTTATTTACATACCATTAATATGTAAACTTGTCACGTGTAAAGAGATACCGCATTCGTAATTGTTTATATCTTTTTCCATTTGTAGAATCAATTTGTTCGATTGTATTATGTGATCTTTTGTTTCTGTCAGCAGTAGAGCGTGTGTTTGTACATTGATCGCGCATTTGTATGTCTCCCTTACTATCAGTCAAACTCATTGCACATCCATATGGGCTTTTCGTGATCAGTACTTTTTGTACGATTTCACAACGGTGGGAAACGTATCCGACGGTATCAAGCACACTCATCCAATCTATTCCATTTGCCATTACGTTCACGCAGCTGTGTTAATAAGTGTCCCAAATGTGCCGATAACAGTATTGAGTGTGAGTCGGGCCAGCTATAACAGGCTTAGCGGGCTTCCGTCGGGGTTCGTCACTTTAAGTAACATTATCATCGACGAAGGAGACTTCGTTCAGGTGTCAACTTCGAACAACTACACTGTGTTTATGGGTATGTGAATAGAACGGTAGTCAGGAGTACAATGCTTTTGAACACCTGCACTGTTTATGGGTATGTGGATAGAACGGTAGTTATAAGTACAGCACTTTTGAAGAACTACACTGTGTTTTTTGTGGGGAAGAACGATAGTCAGAGATGCAACACTCCTGAGGTAGCCAGGATACGTGTACTGCATGTAGTACTAATTAGGAAGTAAGTTATCTGTGCTATTCCTAATCATTGCGGACGCTGGTGGATATGGAATTGTAAAAATGGACGTTTTTGAGAGCAAAGCATTTGTCCAATGTTGTTGAGTTGTAGGTGATTATATCCAGTGCATATCCGAATGTCTGTTGCTGCATGCGATGGGTTGGGTGAGCATATGTAGTTATTGTTGGGTTGTCTGCTACTAAACACTATTGACACTATTGCTCAGGATAAAGTGCTTGTCTAATGGCTTTGTATTGTAGCCATTTGATAAGCACTTTGTCTTGTGCATATCCGAATGTCTGTTGCTGCATGCGATGGGTTGGGTGTGCATATGTAGTTACCATTGGGTTGTCTGCTACTAAACACTATTGACACTATTGCTCAGGATAAAGTACTTGTCCAATGGCGTTGTATCGTAGCCATTTGATAAGCACTTTGTCTTGTGCATATCCGAATGTCTGTTGCTGCATGCGATGGGTTGGGTGTGCATATGTAGTTACCATTGGGTTGCCAGCTGCTGCGACTGTTAATCTGTGGGTATACGCATTCCGTATCAACCATAACCACCTCACTCATATCAATCGATTGCTTCCCTATAGGAGTGGCAAGCATTGTGGCGCTAGTGGTTCTGGTGACTGTGATCACTGCCGTGCACATCCACAAAAGACGCAGGCAGCGAGGGAGGCGTATTACGTTGGTAGATGACTCGAAGTTACAGCTGGCGTTAAGGAAAGAGGGCCTGAACGAATTAGAGGCATTTACCTACCGAAAGCCTACGGAAAAGGATGACCTTGAAGGTACACGGCTGACACTCCTACCTTTCAGTTTCTAGATTCTTATACGTCATCAATACAGTGTGAAACTTAGTGTGTATCATATATATATATATAGGTGTTCTAATATATAGGTACAACTCAGTGTGTATCATATATATATATATAGGTGTTCTAATATATAGGTACAACTCAGTGTGTATCATATATATCGGTGTTCATAC